CCATTAATTCTTGGTCGAGCCTTCCTGGCTACTGGAAGAGCTTTTATTGATGTCCAGAGGAAAAATGATACTGCGGGTTAATGAAGATCAGGTCTTGTTCAGCATATATCCAATGGAAAAATCCTTAGAAAAAGTTAACACCTGCCATATGGTCCAATCAATTGATGAAATTAAGGGTAAAAATTGTAAAAGAAAATTGTTCCATGACCCTCTAGAGCAATACATAGCAATAGTTACTCAAAGATTGCTACAACTACTACTAAAAGCTACACAAGAACCAAGGAAGTAGTGGATTTCATCTTAGCTCAAGAAGCTAATCCATGTGACAGAACGAAGAACTACATTGAAGAACCTCTTAAACCTCCCAAAAGTATCAAATAAAAAGTGGTTTTGAAGGCTATATTAGAGTTAAAGCCGTCAAATTTTTGTGGCCATGCTATAGTGAAGAAGAATACAAAGCCAAGAATAAAGTTTACAAAATGAAGGACGTGCCACCCGAAGATCCAACGTAGACAATTTTGTTACGTCAAGCTAATGACGTTAAAGAAGCGCTTCTTGAAAAGCAATCCAAGTTTTCTTCTTTTTATTTATTTTACTTTCAAGTTATAGGATAATTTAGTTTATTTTAAATTTTATATAGGAATCATCATCCTCAACCCTTCTTCATTAGGTCCTTAAGTAATTGAGTTGGTTATTAAATATTTAAGCTTAGTAACACCTTTTCCATGTACTCAATATCTAAATTTTAATTTTTTAAAAACATGACATCGCGAAACATTCAAACCAACATTGATAAGAAAAAAAAGAGATAAATCTCAAATTTGGGGGAGAAGATAGAAGAAGCATCCATCAAATCCAACATCACAAGTACCGAAACGTCATAGGCAATGCAAATAATTCATGGAAGTCCTCATCACTTTGCTTTAATTTTACATTGGGGACAATGTTTGATTTAAGTTTGGGGGTGTATTATAAATTATCTAATTGTCTAATATTTATTTTTTATTATTTTGTGTGATTTGTGTGCATGTTTAAAAAAAAAAATTAAAAAATAATAAAAAAAATATTTTTTAAAATTTTTGTTTTGCATGTTTGTGTGAGTTAGATAACCTTGTTCGTAAGGATGTATATTATTGAGGACATGTGTTAGTTTATGGATCATGAATGAGTTATATGTTTTAGTTAAATTTTTTTGCTTGTTCATGCGGAACATGAGATACCTATGCACGCAAATTGATTGTAGCATTGTACATGAATAGGTTGATCCATGTTTATAGGTTGAAATAGAGAATTTAAATACTAAATCCAAACAACCACTAAACATTATTATATTTTAAAACCAAATCTAGGATGTTTGGAGATAAATGTGGATTCCATGTATGCTAAAGTTTGTGTGGACTATCTGAGACCAATAAGATGAAAATTCGGTAAAAACCTTAAGTTAGGGGTAAATTTTCAAGAATGAGTGTTTTATAAGGGGCATTGCACTAATCACTACATAAAAGGAAAAAAAATTGTTGTGAAACTACTTTAAAAAATCCCTATGAAGACAACGTTAACAATCTCGTTGTGAAATGTCTCTTCCTAGCTTTTATGAATCGAGTAATTAAGTCTGCAAGGGTTTAAAATCTGATATCTGAAAGTCATCTGATTTGGAAGTCACATATGAAAAAACAGGTGCATGAAACAGAATACGCACTGCATGCTTTGATTAAGCCACAAACACTTGTTTTAGAATATTAGACATTTAATAATGGGTTAGTAACTTAATTGATTCCTAGAGGTTGATGCAGTAAAAAATAAGAAGAATCCTCATTTGTTGATATGTGAACTGCAATCCAGGCAAGAGAGGATAATGAGTAGTGATTTGTAAATCAATCTTAGATTACGCCATCGGGAAAAGAGTGAAAATAAATTAAGTCTGGGGTGTGTGAATCGTACGAGCATAGTAAGGAAATATTTGACTTTTAAGGTCGTAAATTGAATCAACTTATTATTGTACAGTGTTGCATTTGATTCTCCACACACATATCCCCGTGGCGCATTGAATATGTGAGAATTTAGTTTGTGCATTATAACTTTAAAGTGATTCATGAAATTGAAATTATGTTTTCAATATTTAGCTGCAAAGGCAAAATATCTAGTGGAATTTGTTTTAAGTGATTTTGTTTGATTTAGTTTTTGTTTGAAGGTTCATTAGTTACCAATGCACATGATTTTGCTTCAGATACACGAAATATGACTTGGATGAATAAGAGAATTGGAATATGATAAAAAGTTAGACAAGATTTAAAGTTTTTTAAGTCGTCGTTCATGTCTAATCTAATTGTAGGAATTGATTATCAAGTAATTGTAGTTTTTATGATTTTAGGCAATATGTTTTTATTGAAAATCTGAAGAATATATAAAAAGTACAATTAATTGTATATATATACAGAAATGATCTAATGAGCACCGGTGCTCATCTTATTTTAAGCACCGATGAGTTGACACATTAATTCATTGGTGGATAAAGATTTTGTGAGTTCCAATCCACCAAT